TATCACCAGCTTTCCTGTCCCCTCCTGCCTTCTAGTCTTTGTCCCTGGACTGCTGTGCCTCATTAGTCCTGTTGTGTTTTATGAGGCTGTCCAATCCCTGGCTGAACGGTGAACTTTGGGAGGGGAAGGCTGAAATTTTTACAGAAGCAGACTGCCACATCTTTCTCCCGCAGAGCAGCTGGTACGTTCAAACCACAGAACTTTTGGTTAGCAACCAAGCGCTTAAGCACTGTGCCACCTGGCTCCTTGGAGTCCAGATGCGAGGCTGTAATCCAGACCCAGAATATGGAGATAGAATTGGTTGGGAATTCAGGAGGGGCTTCCCAGTGGAACAGGTCCAGTCCCAGCTCCACCACTCTCCAGCCAGGAGATGTGAGAAAAGCAAGTACCTTCTCGGAGCCTCAGTTTACTGTCTATGAAATGGGCCCAGCGTGACAGCTCCTGGCACCTGTCTGCCCTCCGTAAAAAATGGTGGTGGTGGTGGTCATTTTAAATAAGAGTGGTATTTGGAATTCTAATTCCCACATTTAACATGAATGCCCAAATCACGATGGCTTTGAAGCCCCATCTGCACCCCCAGTAGGAATTCTCTTCTTTCCTAGCGGTGTCCCCAATTAACTGCTCAGGGAGCTCCATGCCTGGCCCTGCTGTTGCCCACAGGCGGCGGGGAGGCACTCAGGTTCCCTGAGTCTGAAAGCTGCAGCCACTCCGCAGGCCCACTCTGCGGCCCCCCAAAGCCCGGGTGCAGTCCCGCTGGGCCATCTCCAGAATGCTGCGGCCGCCCATCCCGGATGACCACCCACGCTCTCAGGAAAGCCCGGTCCGGCTCCCCGGCTCCAGCTAGCTCCCCATCACTCGCGGTCGGGCTGGGGTGGGAGCAGCACGTTTCCTCCCTCAGGTGGCCCTCTGCTGTGCCCCTACGCGGACCCCTCTCTCGCCGTACCCAGGGTGGCTGGGCCCACGCTGCCCCAAACCCTTGGCCCCCAGGATAAGCTCTGTGCTCCCGTGGTGGGTTCCCTCTGACAGGCTCGAGCCTCCCTGGTGGCCAGCTGGCAGCAGGCTCACTCTGACCACCCCAGTGTGTTTGGGTGAGAACAGCCTTTCTTCCTCCTGCATCTGGTATCACTGGATCTCAGAGCTGCCCCCGGGATGGGCCAGACGGGGACGTGAGTCCTCGGGCTCCCGCTGAGCCCCAGCTGCCAGCGCCCAGGGGAGGGCTCCTGGGATGCTCCCCACTCCCTGCTCCTAGCTGGTCTGGCCGTTCACAGCAGGTCCTGGGGCAGCAAGTGAGGCCATGCCTAGGACTGCTGGGGACGCTGGGGACAGGTCAGAGGGGGCTTCCCAGGGTGCAGCCCCAAGGGCCAACAGAAAGGGCACAGCACAGAGGCTCCGCCATGTGCACGCTGGGAGAGACGAGCTGTCCTTGGGCTAGGGACAAAGTCCACATACTGGCAGGCACCAGCACCTCGTTGGAAAATGGGCTGGGAAGGGCTCTTCCACCTCGACCCCCAGCTGCGTTCGACGCCAGGCGTGACAGTGTCTAGCTCGACGTCAAGACGGCGGCTGTGATGGTGGGTATCTCAGCTGGTGTCCAGCTGACAAGTGGTCAGCCAGGGCTCCCCAAAAGCAGGACCCGTGGGAGGTGCTGAAGGCCAGTCCCCAATCACCGGATGACTCAGTCCACCCCCAGAGCCGCAGCTCCCTGGTTAGAGACCGAGGGGAGGGAAAGGAAGGGTGTAGCTCAAAGCAAGGTGATGGAAAGAACCAGAAGGCAGCCAGAGACGTGAGGTATAAAAATCTGTATTTATATTACAATGACAGAATGATACAGCACAGTCCCACCCGGTGGGCAGGCGGGGTGGCCCCCGTGTCTCTCTCCAGCAAGGATCTGATGGCACAGTCCACCTCCCCGGCACCAGGCCCCCAGTGTGGCCCCAGACTCTGGCACGGAACCCGCCCTTGTGCCCTGGATGGGAGCCAGGGAGCACTACCCACCCCTACTGGCCCGGGGCCAGAGTCCTCTAGGCAGGGCCGTGGGGAGGCCCAGGTTAGCTGACCCAAAGAGAGGTGGTGCGGGGGCAGCCTGCCTGGTCGGTGGACGGGGATCATCTGGGGGTAGATGGGGTGGGGCCCCAGGTCCATAGCTTGGCTGGTGGCTCTGACAGCCCAGGAAAGCAGGCCGGGACCCATGCATCCAGAGATGGGCCAGGGTGGGTCTGCAGAGGTGACCTTGTTGTGGAGGGCCGCCCTCCTGTAGGCCCTTCCCCTCAGCCAGCGGAGCGCCTGCACCGGGAGAGTGGGGGCCTGGTGTGTGGGAGCTGCCTCCCAGAAAGGGTAGAAGAACCCAAATCCTAACCCAAAATTGAGCCTGGGGTTTTAGAATCTCGGCCACCGAGTGCCGTGGGGGCACCCATGTGCACGAGAAGGCACACAGGGAGGGGCTACAGGCACCCCTCAGTGGCCTGTTCTGGTCCTCTGCTTTCTACAGACACACCACCACTTGGGTATGCTCAGAATAACCCAACGGGGCCTCAGCATGACCGCTCTGGGTCCCTGTGGCCACCAGCCGAGGCCAACCTGTGCAAATGGCCAGGGGCCAGGAGGCATGCACGTTAGAGGAACTCCTAGCACCAGACTCCTGCCTGTGGACCACCCCACCACCACCAAACACACCCCTCAGCTCTGAGGGGGGAAGGTGAAGGCCCAGGGCCAGCTTCACTCACACTTCTGCTGGTGGTGGGGAGGGGGCATCCCAGACTACAGCCCCCTATCCCGATGGTCAACAACACCCACTTCCTAGCCCAGATGGGAACCAAGGATGGAACGGCCCCTGGCCAAGCTGCCAGGACAGTCTGCCGAGGGGCTGCAGCTGGTCCCCAGGCGGGACTGGCCAGAGGTGGGAGCAGACCCTCCCCGGGTGTCAGGGGAGGGAGGGAAGTTGCTTTAAGAATTCAAAACACAGACCAGCCTAGGGGCCCTGGAGCTCTCTCTCCAGAGCAGGTCCTTAAGCACGGGGGCTCGGTGGCCATGCTCGGGCCTGCCGACGGGAGAGGCCCCTTTCTGAGCACCCCGGCCCCCCAGGAGCTGAGAGGAGATGCAAACAGCTCTCATCACAGCCACCCAGCAGGACGCAAGGATAGTCTCCCCGACCCCCGGCATCCTCCCATAGGCCTGGGCCCTTCTGGGGACCGCCCTGCTTCCGCCTGCCATCTAGAGCCCCACTAGAGCAGTTTCTGTGCCAGAGCCGGTTCCAGGTACCCCTTTCTGCCTCGGGAGACCACTCACCCTGGGAGGGTCAGTTGGCATGATTGAAAATTAACACTCACTTTTCCCCATGATTTGGAAATGGGTCACAATGCACCAGAGGAGGTGGCAGGAGCTGCTGTGTGCTAGCCCCGTGCCCTGCCACTCGAGTATTGCTACGTGGGTCCCCGGGGACAGGAACTTGCGGGGGGGGTGGGCAGTGGAAGCCTCCTAGTGCCCAGGCCTGCACTACCTGGGGAACAGTTATCTTCATCAGCTGCCAATGTCTGAAACCTGCAGCGCCCCCCCCAGGCCAGGGGGAGCAGGGCTGAGTCAGGTGAATGGCTGAGGAGCTACTTCTCTGGTTAGCAAGCAAGCTCCCGCCCCAGGACGCCTTCCTCCCCAGGCACAAAAAACCCTTTGCCGTTCAGTCCATTCTGACTCATAACGACCCTACAGGACAGAGTAGAACTGCCCCATAGGGTTTCCAAGGAGTGGCTGGTGGATTTGAACGGCTGGCCTTTTGGTTAGCAGCTGAGCTCTTAACCACTGCACCACCAGGGCTCCAAGGGAGGGTAAAACCAAGCGCCAGGTCACAGCCCCTCCTGCTAGATTACGGGAAGGAGCCACGATGTCCAACCAGGCCCTGGCGTGGTCCAGAGGGCCTTACTCTCCAAAGAGAGGCCGGCCTGCTGGTAGCGGCCACCACGCTTCCCTCGTCCCCTCTCAGCTTCTGCTCAGAGGGGGCCACGGAGGAGGGGGCGCCACGGAGGAGATGCTGGTGGTTGGGGTAGGGCGGCACACAGGGCACAAGGCACACTAGGACAACGGTGACTGACGCAAGCCCCTGAGACACGGGGTCGCTCCCACCCCTCAGCAAACAAGGACGTGACAATGGCTAGGAAAATAGAGTACAAAAATCTCGCACAGGAAAAATAGGCGGCATGCGCCAAAGTCACTTGGCCGAGGTTCTTTCGTGCTTTTTTCTTTTTAAAAACGTTTCTCTTTTTTGCTTTTTCAGGAAAAGCCTCTCTCCCAGCGTGGGCTGCCACAGGCAGGACTTGGGGCTCCCCTCCCCTCGAGGAGATGGCTAGGCGGGGCAGCATTTTTTTTTTTTTTTTTTTTTGCTTATTGAGAGGGAGATGAGACAGCTCCCCGAGGACTGGGTGGCCACAACCTCCACCAGCTCCCACCAGGGAGAGAAGCCCCCCTCCCGTCTGCACGGGCGGGGCCGTTTGGTGAGTTGAGGGTGGGAGGGGGAGCCAGATGAGACGGGGGCCAGCGCTGGCCCAGGCGATCTCTGAAGGCTGACTGCCCCAGGACACGTGCCCTCTGGGTCCCGGGGACTCAGGATCTGGGTATCTGCAGGATCATGTGTGTTTGTGGGTGCGCGTGCGTGTATGCCTAAGCGTATGCGTGTGTGCGTCTGACGGTGCTGGTGTCACTGGCCACTGCTGACAGGGTGGAAGCTGCTAGGCTTGGCGGGGTGGGGCCCGGCCTGCCCCAAGAGCCCAGGCCAGCTCCTGAGGCCTGCAGGTGTGGAAAGGGAAGGCCCCTCTCTGCCCACCTGCCCCAGGGTGCTCACCCGAGTCCCGCCCTTCACGGTCCCCTCTGTCCACGCCTCAGGAGCCTACATGGACCGATGGACGGATGGACGAACTGAGAGCCGCTCTTTCCTCCCTTCCTTCCTCGGTCCACTCCTTTCTCCTGGGATCCGGGGTTTGGGTGGTCATTAAGCCCGTCACACGGTGCCCGTCGAGGTTTGCAGCAATGACATTTAATACTTCTGGAATGATTAGGATTCTGAAAACAGACCGTGGGCGGCTACGCTGGGCTCCCTGGGATGGGGGAGCAGGGCCCTGCCTCCCTGCAGGGGGCCCTGCCCAGCTGGGAGGGGCGGGCGGCTCGGTGGGCCCTGGCTGGCAGGCAGGCAGGTGGTCAGCAGGCAGCCCAGGCGGCAGCTGGGGCTTCCAGAATGGCACAGCAGTGGGCCGTGGAGAAGGCTGGTATCGGTCACAGGGAGGACTGGAGGGCTGAAACGCTTGGCCGGGTGGGCAGGCAGGCCGAGGGCACTGGACCTACGAGAGGCCAGGGCGGCCAGGCCGCCGGCAGGGGGATTCGTAGCTGCCATCACTGGAGCCCCCACTCTGCAGGCTGTAGTGGTCGTCTGCATCACTGCTGCTGCCAACACTGTCCAGCTCGCCTGGGCCAAACTCCATGCCCTCTATGTCAACTTCTAGGGGGAAGAGAGAGGGAACGGGGTCAGGATGGACACAGGCGCCAGCCCAGGGGCTCCTTCCAAGGAAGGGTTTCTTCCAAGGAAAGGCTCCAGGCTCTCCACTTACTCTCCAGGGGGTGGGGGGACTTGTCTGGGGCCCCGGGGTAGCGGACGGGTAGGACTGGGGCCCTGGGGCAGCAGATAGGTAGGTCCGCCCCACTTGGGCAGGTCACTGGCTTCTGTGCCGTGGCCTCCTTGTCCCTGTCCACCCAACATGTGGACGCTGAGGAATGAATGAGCCCTCCATGCAAGGTGCTCAGACGATGCCCAGCAATCCCACCGCACTGCTCCCTGCTGCCCATCACCATGCTCCCACCCACCCTGGCCCTCCCAGTCTCAGTTTCCCCAGTCAGGCTGCGGCTGCCCCACACAACGTGTGTGCTCACAGGGCCGTCCCCTCCGACCCCACCTTGCTCGGAGTCGTCCGTGGAGATGGCGGAGCCCGTGCTGTCCGTGCGCACGCGCTCCATGCTCTGCACCGACAGCTGCTCCAGGCGCCGCTTCAGGAAGCGGTGCTCATGCTGTAGCTGCTCCTTGATGCTCAGTGCCCGACGGTCCTGCTCCTCTAGTTTCTGGAGGCCAGGTGTGCTGTGAGCCATGGGGGCACTCCCACACTGCCACCCACCCTGGCACAGAGAACCTGGCCTGGCAGGGCGCCAACCTCCAGAGACCACAGGTCACCAGGCCTCCAAGGGTTCCAACAGCCTACAGGAGCCCTAGTCCCTCCACCACGGCATGAGGGTCACACCCAGGTGCCACCTCCCAGCCTCACGCTGTCTGCTGACCAGCTCTAGAGTGTCCACAGCCCCCAGCCTGGCACCAGCCCTCGGGCAGCACCTCTGAAGCACAGCCAGGGGGCAGCGGCTCTTCCCCACCCCAGCCTCTCCCCTACACCTTCCTGGGGTGGGGGGGGCATCTGAGATGCTGCCTGGCCACTTCCCCTCGAGGTGCCCATGCCTGCAGGCAGAAGGTACCCCTGCTTGGGGCTGAGACCCCCGGTTGGCCCTAACTTCCAAAGACCCTAAACCTGCAGGTGTCTCCTGCTGCCCATGCCCCCCTCCCCGCCCCAGAGACTGAACTCTCAACCCCACCCCAGGTACCTTGAGCCCCCTCCAGCTGCCTCCGCCCCATCCCATGGGCCTCTCAACAATGGCCCTCCTGCCCGTCCCAGCCCACCTCACAGCCCAGGGCCTCGAGACGGGTCTATACGCCCCCCTCCTCCTGCCTCTCCCAGCCTGCCCACTCCACCCCTCCCCCACCCCATCTCCATGCAGTGACATGCCCCGGTGACCTCCTGAACCACTCAGCAGCTCCAGCTGCTGTCTCCGCATCCCCCACGGCCAGCAGCCTCCCAGGCCTCAGTGCACACCTGCCTGGCAGCTCCCCTCCCCACATCCAGCCACACCGGCCCCACGGGGGGCTCCCCGGGGCACACGGGGGCAAGTCGAGCCAGCCCAGGCCGCCAGGCAGGGCGGCGGGCGCGGCGGCTCACCTTGATGTGCATCTTGGCGCGCTTCAGCAGGCTCAGCGTGGTGTGGCGTGTGCTGTCGGGACCCAACGGCACCAGCTGCTTGAGCTGCTCCAGGTAGAGCCTGAGCTTGGCTCGTCTGAAAGGCCAGAGACAGACCCTCAGGCAGGAGGTCAGGGCCCCCTGCACAGACCTCACCCTGATGCAGACTGCTCAGCATCCCTGTCCCAGCCCCTGGAGAGCCTGTCACCCTCACCCAGAGCCGCCACCACCCTCCAGTGCCTGAGCATAAGAGGTGGCTGGTGGCCTGGGCCCACACGGCCAGCTCAGCCTACCATGGCCTCCCAGAGGCCTGGAGTGCCCACCGCCAGGCACTGCCTGGGAGCCCGGCTCAGCTCCGCTGCCACCACCCTCTGTACTGCAGTCTGAGGGGCCTGGGAACAGCCTGGGGGGACTTGGCAGGACTGATGCCACCCACCTTCACCAAGTGTACTTGGCTGTAGTGCGTCCCCCCCGCTCACTCTTGTCACTACAGAAACGTCAGTCAGTCAGGGTGGGCAGCCAGGGACTGCCCCCTCCCGGGCCAACCCCCCAAGTTTGGAATCCCTTCGGTAACTGCTCCATTCCAGAGTTTGTCCCGTGTCCACACAGGCAAACGTCACGTTTCCACCAAGCTGGAACCCTAACACACTGTGCCATTTGCTCACACGCCTTTATACCCCAGACTTGTTTCTATGGGGACTGGGGAGAGAGCCTGGGATCGTAGGCTTGTTTGGGGAGGCAGACTGGGGGGAATCATGGGGGGGCAGCTCGAGCCTACCCCCAGTCTCTCTCGGATCCCACCAGGATGGCCAGCTTGTTCCTTCTCCCTTCTATGCTGGGACTGCTGCCATGCCGACACTCATCCACCACCGCACGGACATTCAACTGCCACCACAGCACTACAGGGTCCACAGCGTGCAGCGTAGCCACGGCCCGCGACACACCTGCCCACCCGCAGCCGGCGTGAGGCCACTTCCAGCCCACGACGATCTGCTAAGGATGACTTCTTAGCAGTGCAACTGCAAGCTCAAAGGCGGCAGTATTTTCTGAGCTTCGGAAAAACCCCTGCCATTGCCTGTGAGTGCTCTCTCCCACGCCACTGTCACCTTCCTCTCTGCTCCGCGCTTTCCAAAACCAGCAAAGCTACATCCATCGCATCTGGTCTCACAGAGACCCTGGGAGGAAAGGGGCAGGGACAGCCAGTTTGCTGGACAGAGGAGCAGCCTGTGGGCCTGGAGAAGGAAGGGGCAGCTGGGTGCTGGGGAGGGAGGCCCAGGCTCACCCTGCGAGCGAGCCGGGTGCAGAGCGGAGATAACTGCCCCACCCTGCGGGAGGAGGGCCAGCCGAGGAGGAGGGGGGCCAGCCGCACTATGACCTGTGTCCACACAGCACCTTCCCACCTGGTGCACCCGCCCACAGCACCACGGCGCCTTGAAGTTTTTTGCTCACCCAGAGTTAGGTCTCAAGAAGGACTGCCAGGACACAACACAGAGGCTGTGCTACGCCCACGGAGCTCAGGCGCCGGCAACCTGGGCAGTGGAACCTGAGCAGAGAACCTAGGGCTGGGCAGGCCTCAGACTCTGCTTACAGCTGGTGGAGTCTTTAGAGATGCCCCTCTCCCCACTGTACAAAGATGGGGAAGGGGACCACGTAGCAAGCTCCAGAACTCACTGGAGTCCCAGGCCACTGCTCCACGACCACCTGGAGCGTCTCGAACCTCAGAACCTCAGCTTCCTCATTTCCAATGGGGGCGAGCGCCCCTCAGCCTGTCCTACACTGGGGATTAAGTTCACAAGTGGGGATGTAGAGCCAATTCCGACTCATGGCGTCCCCATGTGTTACAGAATAGAACTGCTCCATAGGGTTTTCTTGACTGTAATCTTTACAGAAGCAGATCGCCAGGCCTGTCTTCTGCAGTGCCACTGGGTGGGTTTAAACTGCCAACCTTCCGGTTAGTAGTCGAGAGTAAACTGTTTGTGCCACCCAGGGTCCCTCCACTCATCATATACCAAAAATAATCCAAATCCATTGTCGTCGACTCAATTCCGACTCATAGAAACCCTGTAGGACAGAGTAGAACTGCCCCAAAGAGTTTCCAAGGCTGTAAGCTTTACGGAAGCAGACTGCCACGGCTTTCTCCTGCAGAGTGGCTGGTGGGTTCAAACTGCCCACCTTTTGGTTAGCAGGTGAGCGCATAACCATTGCACTACCAGCCATACGGTAAGCGTCAATTTTTACCATCCATTACTTAGCTCCGTAAGCAGTACAGGATCTTTGTGGAAAAATTAGAGCATGCACACAAATCAACAAAAAAACAAAATAGATGAAAAGCACCCCAAATTCCACCACCCAGAAACAACCTTACTATCATTCTAGCGTAGTCTACGTTTTCGCATGGCGAATGTTAAGTGAAAAAATTAGGACACAGAACCACGTATGTAACAAGTGACCCAATTTTGTTAAAAACAAGAAAATAAAAACAGTGGACGCACACAAGAGACTCAACAAAACACAAGGAAGCGCTGGAAGCGTGCATCTCCAAGGGGTACGATCGGTCACGTTTATTTATGTGGCTTTGTGCTTGTCTCTGGTCCAGATTTTCTATGCTAAAAGAACCACATATTACTTTTACAACCAGAAAAAGACACATTTGTACAAGAAAGTGGAAAAAACACAGCTGAAAGACACAAAACAGTGGAAAAAATATTCACAATACACATAAAACACAAACGGTTAGTATTCGTAATATTCCAAGGTCACACAAACACAAAATAAAAAAGAGGAATATCTCAACAGGAAAATGGGCAAAGGACACAAGCAGGCAAGTAACAGAACATAACCGGCTAGTTCAGCGTAAAAACGGAGCCCATCCTCTATATCGAGGAAAGGAAAACTCGGGCCAGGAGACATTGATTTTTGTCCTTCCAACGGGCTAAAACTAAAAGGAGCGATTGACACCGGTGACATACGCTGGCCAGAGGTGGGGATAGTGAACAGACGCAGGAGTCCTGAAGGGCCACCTGGCAACAACTCTCAAAATTAAGTCAGCTCATACTCTTTGACCAACATTTCTGCTTGTAGGGTTTTTATCCTACTAAACGATCCCCACAGGTATGCAAAGATTCAACATTTGCTGCAGTGCCATCTGTCCTGAAACACGGAAGCACCCCCAAGTTTGACACTATGGGGATCGCTGAGTCCCGGGCAGCCCAGCTGAGGGTGCTGTGTGGGCATCTGAGACCAGGAGGCAGAGGACGGCACAGACGTAGGTGGACAGCGCTTAAGTGACGTCACGTGAAAGAGTTACGAAATCACAGATGGTTAAGACCCCATCCTAACAAAGTCCGATTAGCAGTTAGCACCCAGGCGGAGAAGGCTAGCAGTGTAGGTGCAGCCTGGGAGCTGCTAAGTGTGGCTGCCTCTGGGGGCGAGGCTGCAGGGGAGGTCCAGGCACCCCATGATGTACATGAACAGACTACTGAGAAATCACCAGACATTCTTCCACTAACAGAGAGAAGCCATCTGACTACAGGTGTGCAACGTTTAAAACCCAACAACGTGTCCACCCAGCCCCAAGGGAGTACAGAGCTGTAACTTTGGGATGGTCTCTAAAACCTGGGTTGGGGGCGCTGAGAGCTGGGAAGGATGGCTGGAGCCCCTCCCCACACAGGGGAAGGCCAGAGTCACTGGCCAGAGGAAACTACTGGGGGTCCCCGAGGTCAGCAGCTGAGTGCTGGTCTTAGCAGACCCCAGGGAGGTACTTGTCCATGAGGCGAAGAAGGTGGGTAGGAACAGGCCAGGGCAGTAACAGGACAGGACTGGCCCAGAGCTCCAGACAAAGGGAAGGCCAGAGGTCCAAGGCGGGTCCCCAGCTGAGGGATGCCACCAGGAGGGCAGGGTCCGTGCGTGCCCTGCCTCCCTGGGGGCCGGCTGGGCACCCAGCCAGGTGCATCCTTCCTTCCTGGGGACAACCAGTGCAGCCCTTCCTACAGCCACTGGCCTGGGCGTCGAGTATCAGGGACAGCCATGGTCAAGGCCCCAGCGGGACCCATACTCCAGGCCAGGCTGGAACAGAGCAGCTGGAAGGGGATACGAGCGCCCAGGTTTCCCAGCCTTCCTTTGTGTCTCAAGAGGGTCCCACGGGGCCCAACCTAAGGCCAGACCCTGGGAGGAGGTAACAGAGGCCAAAGTCAGGGTCAAAGGGCAGCTGTGGGCCCAGGGGTCAGAGATGAGCCCCTGTCCTCCACCTCCAGGCTGCGTATCCTGGCCACCTGCCCTCCCCTCAATGTCATCCCAGCTCTCTGTCTGTCCTCCCAGGTACCACCTCTGGGAAGCCTTCCACGAGAACACTGCATCCACCCAGGTTTCTGAGTCCCAGGCAAAGCCAGGCCCACCCCGTCTGGCCTGGGAGCAACACTAGGGCCTGCCTGGCTCTCTCAGCCCCCGCACCTGCCCCCACCTCGGTGGCCTCTAGGGAACCCCCAGACACACACACCACACACGCACAGCGATCCAGGAAATGCAGCTCCTCCAGAGAACACAGCGTCCTGTCCCTGCCCAGCACCCGCCCAGTCAGAGGCCAGAATCCCGGGGGAGCGGAAGCTGGCACTGCCGTGGGCACAGACATCGGCGGGAGGCGGGATACAGAAAACTAGCCCAGTGCCAAAGTTTCCCGGAGCGGGCTGGGGAGGGTTCGGCTTGGATCCAGACACCCACCCCCAACTGAGGAGGGGAGAAAGGAACAGCCCATTTCACAGATGAGAAAAAGGGTCAGGAGAAAGCTACTGCCCAGCATTCCTCAGTGGGTCACCCACCTCAGTATGGGGCTGCCTGGTCCAACGTGTCCCTGCACCCACCTGCCAGGTCCTGAGACCAGCCTTAAGGGTGTCCATCCACAGGGGCTCCCCGAGGCCCGCTGAACCGGCACACACCTCATCCCCACCGAGGCAGTCCAGCGGCCTCCATTAGCTGGAGAGGGGCCCGGGCTGACGTAGGATGGAGGGAGAGCTCCCCCAGCCACCACGCTGCCCAGGGGCCCCCGCCTAAAGTCATGTGGGTATCATGTGGGGCTCCTCTAAAATCCTGCCCTGGGACAGAACTCCCTCCAGGCCCAAGGAGGCTGGGACTGGCCGCCTAGCCCGCTGCCTGTCAGACACGACTCTGGCCTTGACTCCTTGCAAGGTAGGCCCCAGAGGGCTGGAAGCCCCCAACCAATAGGACCAAATCCTCCTGGCCTGAGGCCAGGTCCTGAGGGGCTGCCCTCAGAAGGCTCAGACTGCCCCAAAGTGGACCAACCACCTCCTCTGGGAAGGCAGCACTAACTGCTCACAGCACACAGGCCCTGCCCGAGTTCCTGGCCCCAAAAGCAGGGTCTGAGTCCCCTCCTGCCTCCCAAACTGACCCTTTTCTGAAGGAGGCAGAGAGCTCAGGCACACCAGGACACAGGCTTGCAGATGGCTGGCCCCAGAGTCCCCCTTGGCAGAAGGTGGGCTAGACATGCCAGGCAGCTCCCGGGAGGGGTGGGGTGGAGGGCTGAAGGTATCACTTACCTGTGCTTCTCCAGCTCATTGTGTGAAGACCTGTTTAGAGAGAGAGAGAGACAGTGCTCACTCCAGGGCCCGACCACTGGAGCACAAAGAATGGGCCACCCTTTGGCCCTGACAAGCCCCGGCTCCACCCAGGCGACTGGGGACCATAGCAGCCCTGGGCAGGTCTGGGCCCAAGAACAGCCCAGAACAATGAGGGTTGTGGCAGGTGAGTAGCACCTAGCACTGAGGGCAAGGACAGGGAGGCACAGAGGTGCAGGTGGGTCTAGGGCCACCCAGCTCACCTAGCGAGGCCTTGGGGGCTCTGACTGGCAGAGGGCACAGGCCCCCTTCCAGAAGGGGCTGGGGAGGCCCAGGTGGCTCTTGGTGGCTGGTCCTGGTGCTGGCCTGCTCTGTGTTGCCCAGGCACCTAGCGGCCTGCCTGCTCAGCTCCCCACACCCCAGGGCCAGCAGAGGGCCAACTGCAGGGTGGCCACCAAGAGATAGAGCCCTGCCGAGCACAGGGGCCAGGCCATCAGGTAATGGGGCAGTCCTGACCCCACCCTGTGGGGGCAGTGGCCTGGACCAGGCTCACCTGCCAGCTGAGCTCCCCTGTGCACACCCCGTGTGCTTACAGCCCCACTGTGTTGATGGTGACACCCGGGGACACAGCAGTCCCAGCCAGGTTAGCCCATGAGTGGGCCTCTTGGACATGGACAATTCCCGGACCGGAGGGACCAAGCTCACAGCTCCACGTCACTTGTGGCCTATGGCTGGGGTGCTGGGACCCCGTGGATCAGGTGGGGCACTGCCAGGCACACTTAGACGAACTCTGCCCTTTCCCCTCACTCCTTCCTGGAGCTTCTGCTGACCACCACCTGCCCACTGTCTCCCACTCCAGGAGCTGGGCACCAGGGTCTCCCATGTCCGTCTCCCCTTCCAGACTCACTGCCCATCCTGCCCGCCTCTGCCTCCTGCGGAGCCTAGGCCCTGCCTGAGGTCTCTCTCCTCCTGCTGGGGTCAAGTGGCCCAGGAGAGCCTCCAGACCCAGGCTCGGGGTCCTCAAGGGCCTGTCTGTCACACAGGCTGGACAAGGAGCCTCCAAACCTCGGCCTGGGGCCGCTGAGGCCAGGCGCTGCCCCTCAGCCCAAACCACAGCCCAGCTGTCTGGACCTGTGGGTCAGCTCCCTTGGAAGAGGTGAGCCTGTCCCCTCACAGGGTAGCCACTGGCCCCCCACCCTGGAGGCAGAAGGGGCTCCTTGGGCCGCCTCAGGGATGGGATGGGGCCCAGAACCCCTCCTGCATCTGAGGCTGCATGGGCGCATCGCGGGGGAGGCTCCTCCTCATACTGGGCCCCGGGAGCACCCTGGTCCCCAGCCAGGGTGCGCTCAGGTGTCTGGGGGAGCAGGGGAAACAGCTGTGAGCATCCCCTGGTCCACTCTCACCTCAGCCTCACCAAGTAGGTGCTTTTCTCCCCACTTTTCAAATGAACCTGATCCCTCCCCCCAGCACCGAACCACTGGCGCTGAAGGACCTTCCTGAGCCTACAACACCCCCACCCCACCCCCACAGCCCTCCTGCCCTGCTAACCACCTTACCCTGGTCCCATCTGTGCCCCCTCCCTGGTCCTCCCGCTCTTGGTGGAACACAGAAGCCTTATGGGTGGGGCTGCCCTTCCCAGTCAGGGGTCCCGGGCCCGTGGCCCCTGCGCTGACCTGCTCCCTTCATGGGCTGAGGAACAGCTTGGCTAACACAGCCTGGAAGGTGGTAGCTGCCCAAGAAAGGATCCCAACAGTAAGCCTTAGGCCAGTCCAAGTATGGGGGCATGGGGTGGGGGAGGCTGGTCCAGGCACAGGGGGAGGAAAACTGGCTGGTCCAGGTACTAGGGGGGCTGCTCCAGGCACTGGGGGAGGAAGACTGGCTGGTCCAGGTACTATGGTGTGGGGGGGGAGGGGCTGGCTGGTCCAGCTACTACAGGGGCTGGTCCAGGTACTTGGGTTGGGGGCTGGCTGGTCCAGGTACTAGGGAGGCTGGTGCAGGCACTGGGGGGACTGGTCCACGTACT